TAAACCTTATTTCTCCCTTTGACTGATTTTGGTTTTTAGACATATTTTGCCCTGGGATTTCCTCTCCCTGGATGGACTTGCATCTGGTGGCAGCCAGCAGGTTGCCTCTGAACCCGAAATCTGTCATAATGGGTGTGACCTTTGGGAGGGCTGCTCTTGTGGATGGTGGGGAGGCCCCAGTGGATGCAGCAGCAGAGGATGCTGCTTCACCTGTTATTATCGCCTCAGCTGTGGGGCTTCCAAGTTGGGAACCCCTAGTGGGGAACTGATCTCAGTTTAAGTATGTCTTAGATGGGTGGGGCCTTCCCCAGAACTGGGGAAGGGTGGACACACCCAAAGTTGCATAGTTAGCCCTCTGTGAGTTGGAAGACTGCTTGGAGACTTTAGGGGCCGTGTAGTGGCTGGCATTGCATGGTGTCTTTTCATCGAGATGGAAGAAAATGTTATACAGGAGAAAGGATTATTGAGGGATTTAAGCAGAAGAGAAACACACTTCAGCATCACTTGGATGAGTTGGGCAGTAACCTATGGGATGCTGTTAAAGAAGAGAGACAGTTACTGAAAAGGCAGGTCATGCTCCTAGAAGATTCCTTAGCAGTGGCAAGGGGGCAGATGGCAGGAAAAGTCACATTGCAGGTGGCCGTTGGGGAGGGGGAGGAAAGAGTAGTGCCTTCAGCCCTGGAAATGGTGGAGGAGGATCAGTTGGTGGAGGAGCCCAAGGGAGAAGAGGAGGAGGCAGGGCCATTGATGGATCCGCTACCCAGGCCACCACTGGAGGTACCATCTTCTCCTGTTTTAAAGGCCTGCCCAGCTGTAATTAAGAAAATAAAAATGAAACAACCATGGACTCCTCAGGGGGAGGAGCAGCCCCCTCTCCAGGTTGTGGAGCACTCCATGCTCCACCCCTATACCCAGGATGAGCTGGTAGACATGAGCATCTGGTATAGGCAGAGGCCATCAAAATCTCTGCCTACGTGGCTTTTACTTCTCTGGGATATGGGAGTGAAAAACATTGTGTCGGGTACTGAGATGAGTAGAATGGCTTCCTTAATTACTCACCCTTCCCTCTGGCAGCAGTTGCAAAATGCCCATCAGACCTCAGGGAATCAGACACTTCTGGAATGGCTGCCAGCTGCCATCAGGATAGTTTGGCCTAATCAGTGTGATTTACCATATTTTCCCAGTAGTTGGAAAACGTGTGCAGAGCTCCAACAGGCACTGTGGGAATTGGGTATGAAAAATATCATCTATAATATGGACTTCCAGGGCCCTGATGAGGAGGTGTTCACTAAAGGAATGAGAAACCTGGTACTGCATAAAGCTCCCACATCTCTCTTTGGGTCCCTAGTGAATACTCTTACCCCTCCCCCCACCGCCCCACCTAGGGCAACCCATAAATGAGGCTTCTCCTACTTTAGCAGATCTGGGGGAGTTTGAAACAATAAGGGCACGGAGGGAAGTACAGTCCACGTCTGAAAGGAGAGGTGTAAAGGCCCTGTGAAGGTCTCGAGGACCCAGATGTGGGTTGATTTGATAAAGGCTGGGGTAGTGAAAGAAAAACTCAATGGGCAGCCCAATAGAATATTGTTAGAACTGTGGCAGCAATTAAGGCCTGAAGTTGGACACCAATATTCTACCAGTTCGCCTATGGACAGTGCTGCAGCGTTTGAATGAGAAGCCACATAAAGGAGCTTTGAGCCCTGTGGATATGCTCACACCTTGCTGCCTCTCCTATACATTGTACGTTCAAACCAAAGAGGAGCTATTGAAGCCAGGATATGGCCAGCAGAGCAACATCCTGCTGCCAGTCCCTACTGCATTAAGCCCTGGAGACACTGTTGAATGGAGCTGGCCCTGGACATTTCGACACATGAACCAGTGATGGCTGGCCCTTCTGGCACCTTGGGGGAAAGGCCTGGAGGCTGGTCTCCTGTGTATTCCTGGAGTAACACCTGAATGGCCCCCAAAGGTCACAGTAGTGTACCCAAAACGTCCAGGAGGTAAGAGCATCTTGCAGGGAAGTTTTGTTTGTCTTTATGGCCAGTGCATATACCTCCCATAGCCCTATGTATCGACCCATCTGTAACTCCCACAGGGAGTGGGGTGAAAGTCTGGTATACTAGACCAGGATAAGATCCCATTCCTGTCACTGTTTTATCACAAGACCACTCTCTTGCATGCATCCTACCTGATGGACAGGATTTGCCTATGCTGGTGCCATTAAAACGTGCATCTTATCACCCTTAAGGTTATTTTCTCCTACAGTCCTTGTCGCCTGAAAGCATCCCCTGGCTGCAGCTGCCACATGATAATTGTTCTGAACCCTCAGCTACTGCCTGCCTATGGAATGGATAAGCTATGGACTTAATCTGTGTAAGACTTTGAGCCTAGCTGAATACTCTCACTTGAGGACGTCTTAATTTTATTGCTGTTGCTATTGTTATGTCATTAGTCTGGTTACAATGCTCCAGTTTTCTCCCCCAGGGACCATTGAGGAAGAAGGGGTGAGAGCAGATTGTAAGGCAAGATTTCTGGAGGGGTGGCCTGTGGGTAAAATTGTAACATTTCCAGAGTATCTCGCCTGGCTTTAGTTCATTTGCATATCCTCAGGGGTGGAGAGAAGTTCATCACCATGGCAATGGGTGATTACCTGGGCAACGGAGGGCGTGTCTGAACCTGAGAGTTTAAAGGGAGGGGCTGGCTTGCTTACTTGCTTGCATCCTCAGGAGCAGAGGTGAGAGATGTCTCTGGACTGCAGTTTGTAAGCAATAAATGGGTTTTAAACTTTATTTCTCCCTTTGACTGATTTAGGTTTTTAGAGGTATTTTGCTCCAGGATTTCCTCTCTCTGGACTTACAGTGGGAATATTGGGTTGATCAAGACAAATAAAGGCCCTGCCTTTACGGGACTTACAGACAAAAACAAAGCAAAAAATGGGGAAATGAATAAATGAAATCATTCCTACTAAACTACAAAGGGTCCAGAGGCTTCCAAGAGGAAAGGTGGTCAGTGAGGCTGACGATCCAGGGGCAAAATGAGCCTAAGAGCTAAGGTCAGAGAGGGCATGCAGGCAACAGACCACAGGGGTGTTGAGGCGGGGGTGTATTTTCCAGATTCTTGTCCCCGCCGCAACAAAGAATTGAAGGGCAGAGACACAGTAGTGAGGCAGAGTAAAAGTTTGATTTAAAGTTACTTAAAGAGAGAAAAAGTGCTGACGACCTCAGGGAAGAGAGGCGTCCTGAAAGGTTTAAGCTTTATTTAAAGAGACTAAGTGCACACTTGGAGAAAGGGAAATGTGAGCTACCTTATGGAAGAGGCACGCTGAAAGGTTAAGATAAAGTTTTAAGGCTACACACTCAGAAAGTGCGGGGAACCTCAGAGGGAGGAGTGCACTGAAAGGTTGGGAAAGAGTTTTATTTAAGTTACACACTTAAAAAGTGCAGTTGACCTCAGAGAGGAGCGCACCTAAGGTTTTAGGATCTGGGGTTTTATAGGCAGTTGAGGATCTTCAGGAAAGCAACAAAGGGCCAGGTGTGGACCTGCCAAATTCATCTTTGATACATTAAGTTTCTTCTTTTTTTGACTTAAAACAAATATACTGCTTTGATTCTTTTCCGGGATACCACTTTCTTTCCGGAAGCATATCGGTCATGACTGTCTGCCCTGCCTCCAAAGTGGGCTGAGCACCGTCTGTTTGGTTAAAATGCAATCTTAGCTTTAAGATAGAATTCTTTCTGAATAAGGTGGGACTTTGAGCAGACTAAAGTAAATTTTACAATGGTATGTTCTAACTGACACAGTGAAAACATTGGCTATGCTGAGATACTTTTCTTTATCTGGGGAGTATTCAAACTTCTAGCCCAAGTTGCTCCTGGCCTTCTGCGCTATTTTTAACTGGTTAACTCTTTGAGTCCCTTCTAGTGGGCTTTACTGGCCTTACTCTCTTTACACCCAACTCGCTATCTATTGCCCTGCCTAACAGGGCTTTTGCAGGCCAATGTAAGTTTTTATGTCATACTTAAGGCAGTGGGGAATCTTATAAAGGCCTTTAAATAGGGGGAATTAAATGGTTTGACTTACGTTTTTAAACGATCAGCAGCTGTTGTGCGGCATAAAATGCCAAGCCTGAAGTCAGATGGCCATGCATTCTGCAAATTCACTGTGAGATTGCTGCCAAACCTCTTGATTAAGAGTCTCATCTTGTTTCCTTGATAAATAAATCAGTCAAAATAAAGCTCTGTAACATGTAGTGGGAGCCAAAGGTTGGAGTCATGTTCTGGTTTCAAATCTTGCTTCCCACTATGAGCTCTTGGCAAGTTACTTATTTGTGCATCAGTGATCTCAGCTGTGAAAGGGGGATAAAAGTTCCTACCACAATGCTGTTGTGAAAATTAAATGACGTGTAAAGCACGGTGAGAGCACCTGGTACAATGCAGAAGTAAAACGGTCATAAACACTAGCTTTTATTACATCTTTCAGAAGATTACTGTGAAGACCACATGAAATACTGCATGTGAAAGGGCTTATCAAACCATTAAGACTGTCCCAATGGCAGAATTCTTTCTCTCCCTTGTCTTAAGCGGAACACAGAAGCCTATGCAAGGCAGGGAGGCGCGAGGCCAAACGCAGCCTCAAAGCGGTCATTGTCGTCCGGCCGCCCCTCCCCCGCTTTGGGCGCATCTCCATGGCAACGCGGGGCTTTGCCTCTCCCCGCCTTCTGGGGCCGCAGACCGGAAGCAGTCCGCGCCACGGGCTTCTGGGAAACTGCTGTGAGTGGCGTCTCAGCGTCTGCTGTGGACAGCGAAGCTGCTGTGGTTCCAAAACCGGAGGTTTGCGCGAGAGTGGCGGGGCGGGGGAAGGGAGTGAGGGGGAAGGGCGCGAGAGGACCGCTGGCTTAGGGCTGCGGACCGCTTGGCTGGAATCATTCAGCAAGTCTGGTAGGGACCTTCCTCGGCTTCCCTGGAGGCGCGGGGACCAGGCCGCGGTCTCCCCGCCTAGCAGCTGGGGGGCGGAGAGGGGTAGACGGAAAGCCAGATGGGGCTTTCAGCTTCTTTGGGGTACTTTCCATCCGTTGTGTAGTCCCCGACCCTCACGTTCCCCCTCTTCCTCCCCCTCCCCCATCGGCCGGTTTTGTTCTGTTTCGAGGCCCTGGAGTCTCGCGGAGAGTTCTGGGACTCCATTCGGGCGGAGGTCGGAGGGGGCGGGCCTTCCGTGGGGCCTGCCGGGGCTTGTAGTTTCGTTGGACGGGGGCGGAAGTGCCGTGCCTCGGAGGTTGTAGTAACAGGGTACCGTTTTGTTATCTAAAATCCACTGGGTCTAGTGCAGAGGAGAGGGGCTGGAGGACGACGGAGCGGGGCAGGGCGAGGTTCGCAGCGGCACTTTGCAGGAGTGAGGCGGGAAGAACACCTGGTAAGAGGCCCTCCGCCCAAGCGCTACCTGGACCCTCGGGTCTGCCACTCACCGCGCCTCCTTCACGTCCTACCAGCGGGCTGTCCATTGAGAACATGAGAGGAAGAGAAATCTCTTTTGCGTAGAATGTTTGAGCAATTGATAGGTAGGGTCCTGGAATAGGAGCGAACCTGTTGGCACCCTGTTTGTAAGGCCGCCACACTGCGGTGTACTTAATCAAAACTGTATATGTATTACCTGTCTGTATTATTAAATTAAATTAAGAGCACTTAATTAAAACTATGTATTACAGTTTTTCAGGTTACTAGTTTTGGTAGAGTTACAAGAAGTTTTTTAAAGTTACTGGTTTTCAGAGTCTGGGCCCTGAATAGGTATCTTGAGTAGCTAGCTGCATGGCTCATTCCTAATGTGTGTTCTAAACAATGGCTTGGGCATGACTGTGCAAATAATAAGGAAAGGATCAGAAATAGCACAAGGTCTCTCTGAAGGTAGAAGCCGGGAAGACTGAGTCATCCAGTGTGAGGACAAGATTCTGGGCCACTGCAAGAGTTTCTCTTCATAGAATTTGTTGTGACTAATGCCTGTCATAAGAGATTTAAATGTAGTTATGTTGTGGCAGGTGACTGAATAATATTTGTATGTGATCTAGTGGTTACTTTTTTAAATATTATGTCATCAGTTACTGAGCAAGTGAATATTTTTTCACATATTTTTAAGTTCAGGGAGTTCGTAAACACGTAAAAAATAGAGTTCTTAACTCTTAGAAAAACTTTTTGTTAAAAAAAATTTTAGGCAGCTAATAAAAACAGCCCCTGCTTTTGTGTTGACCTAAGTGTGTTATGGAACAACAGTCCTGAGTTGTAAATAATGTATTTCAAGGTCAAAAGCATTTAGAAAACACCGAGGTAGGCTTGTTCTTTCTTGGATTCTTTTGACTATTGAAATAGGGTTTGTTGATTTGGTAGGTGACAGATTGGTGAACTTTTCTCTACAGGGCCAGATATAGTAAATAACAGGTTTTTCAGGCCATAGTGTCTGTCTTAACTACTCAACTCTGCTATTGTAGGTGAACTGTGAACGAATAGACAGACATTCTAAAAGTTCATACCATTTTCACATGTCTTGAAGTAGTCTTCGTTTTTTTCTAACCATGTTAAAATGTGAAAACTATTCTTAATACAAGCATTGTGCAAAAATGGGCACTAGGCCAGACTTAGCTGTGAGTTGTAGTTTGCCAACTTACGGTGTAGGTTATTGATTGTAATTTTTAATCCAGTAAAAAGAATTGATATGTTTTACTTTATTAATATATGTCTAAGTTTAACTTAAGGTATTTGGGCATTTATTTATTTTTTATTTCTTGTGTCTCAGGAGTACCTGTAAAGAAAAAAGGGTATTTCCCCGAGGCCTATATCCTGCCTTGATTGTCTTTTCTTGAAGACTTATAAATCAGGATGTCTGCACAGTCAGTGGAAGAAGATTCTATACTTATCATCCCAACTCCAGATGAAGAGGAAAAAATTCTGAGAGTGAAGCTGGAGGAGGATCCTGATGTTGAAGAGGGATCAAGTATCCCCTGGAACCATCTCCCTGACCCAGAAGTTTTCCGACAGCGATTCAGGCAGTTTGGATACCAGGATTCACCTGGACCCCGTGAAGCTGTGAGCCAGCTTCGAGAACTTTGCCGTCTATGGCTTAGGCCAGAAACACATACAAAAGAGCAAATCTTGGAGCTGGTTGTGCTGGAACAGTTTGTTGCCATCCTACCAAAGGAGCTGCAGACTTGGGTTCGAGAGCATCATCCAGAAAATGGAGAGGAGGCAGTGACAGTGCTGGAGGATTTAGAGAGTGAACTAGATGACCCTGGACAGCCGGTGAGCCTACTGTGTCATTTTCTGGGTCAGAAGCATTGGCATAGCAACAGGCAAAGCTCCTGAGTTAATTCCAGTTAACTAAGTAGTTAGAATTATGTATATGCCCCTGCTAACTGCTCTCCACTATCTATGCTGCTTTGTCATCTAGGTCCCTGTAGTATATGTTTTGTATGGTTTCTCTTATGCATTTTTAGTTCTGGTACTCATAAATTTCTTCTCAACTAAACCAAACTTTATTATTTCCAGGTTTCTCTCCGTCGACGAAAACGAGAAGTGCTAGTAGAAGAGATAGTATCTCAAGAAGAAGCTCAGGGACTACCAAATTCTGGGCTTGATGCTGTGGAAAACCAGCTCAAGTGGGCATCTTGGGAGCTTCATTCCCTAAGGCACTGTGGTATGGACCAGAATTCCATGTGGGCTAGAGAGCGAACGAGTGTGGGCATTTTGTCCAGAACTCATTGCTTATTCTTGCTTTGGGGGAGAGGGTTTTAATCACCTTAATCTGATCTTAGACATAGACATACTGTAGGATCTTGCTTCTTTTTTCATAACAGTTGGTTCATGCACCTCAGGTCTTTTATTCCTAGACATTAGTATCATTAGCCTTTCCTTCCCTTTCACCTCTTGAAGACCTGTCCATTTCAGATCGGCATTTGCCTAACTTCAAGCCAACCACCCACCTATAGACTAGGGCCCTCTGTTTTGTATGCAGTACTGCTTATTTGCCAACTGTTTCACATCCTTTCAATCACCTACCTAATCCTGCTGCTATAATAAGCTTACCTAAAGCCTCTTTAGATCTTTTCATTTCACTGAGGTCTTTTGAAATATTTAGCTGTTTTTGTTTTTTTCTTAAACATCCTACCTAGCGGTTTTTTTTCTAAGAAGTGTTATTTGTAGACATAACATTCAGATAAAGCTCTCTACCTTTTTAAAGTACTTACGCAAAAATAGGTTCTCTGGCTATAACGTGCTTCAAGTACAGAAATACTAATTGAAAAACTTGTAATGGTAATAATTCACTTAGATAAGTCTTCCCCAATATATTGGCAATTGACTCCACGTATTTGTATACTTAGTTATAGCCCAGTACATTCCTAAAACTGCTGAATTTTTTTTTTATATTTGTATGAATTGAAATGAGATTTTGTTTGAGATGGTTTTGGGAATCATTTCTTGAGGTAACTATAGATAATGTTGGTGTGCCACAGAATGGGCTCTGATCAGATTTTCTTCCCATCTGAGGGGACAGTGCTAGTGAATCAGAACTGCTGGGGTGGTGCTGAAGCCAGCTGAGAATCTGCAGATTTACATGTTTCATGGACATTTCTTCTGTATAGTAAATTTTGAGGACCACTATTGGTTGTTGGTTGTGGCCTTTTCTTGGATAGAAAACTTCCTTGCTTGCTTGAATTTTAGAATGATTTTCACCTGTTTTTAAATAGCTTAATTTCAGCAGTCTTGTCTCTACCACAGTTGGGAACTTCTTTCTGTCCCATTTATTCCACTTGCTTCTCTATTCTTCAAATCTCCAGGCCTCACTAAACCTCTCCAGCCCTTCACTCTCTCTCTGTCAGCCTTCTCTCCTGACTTTATCCCTTTCTTAATCATTTATCGTAGACTTGCTTACTGTTTACCACTGTTGTGAGTGCTGCTGCTCACTTTGGAATAACCGTTTCACTCTTCAAGGTTTGATGTTTCAGTAGAGTCTTAAATGAGACTGCATATTGCTGCCTGCAGGTGGTGATGGTACTTCGTGTTGGTAATTCACACTTTTCTTTGATGAGACACATCTAACTGGGGTTTAGAAATAACTCTTCTAACTACCATGATAAATACCAAAGCAAGTTTCTTTAAAAAAAAAAAAAACCTTTCATTTATTAAGGGCATACTGAATTTATAAGTGTCATGTCCTCAGTTAACACAGGATGCTCCTGGCTTAATTTAGGCCCTTCTTGTCAGGACTCTCATGTTCTGCTGCTTTTAGTGTAATCTTGGTTGTGATTTCCTATCTTACTCAGTCCAGTAATAGTCACTAACAGATTGCTTATTATTTGTACCATTGTATTTTGATGTATTTAAGATTTCTCCCTATCTTAAAGCAAAATATTATTAATTATGATTCTCCTAGTAGCAGTTTAATTTTATTCTTCTTAGGAAGTTTCATCCAGACTTAGCTACATCACAGTCTTAGAATCTGCCATCTTTCTCCTTTTGTTTACTGACTACCATTGTATAAACCCATTCACTTACAGTACCAATTTTATTCAGATACAACCTTTTAATCCCTCATTATGTTGTCATGCCGTTTCCTCATTAGTCTCATAATCATTCATTTTTTTCTTTTTTGAGAATAGGCTTCCTTAACACTGGTTTTCAGAGTGCTGTTTTTATACATATGTATGAGATGTTTACTTTCAGTTCATTAAAAAAGTTTTTTTCTTCAGGTTCCTTTCCTCACAGAATAGGAAATGAGTGATGTTTACATTTTCTGTTCATTTCAGATGATGATGCTAGAATTGAAAATGGAGCACTAGCGCCAAAGCAGGAGATTCCCTCAGCAGCAGAATCTCAAGAAGTTCCTGGCAGTCTCAATATAGGTGTTCCTCAAATTTTTAAATATGGAGAAGCCTGTTTCCCCAAGGGCAGATTTGAAAGAAAGAGAAACCCCTCTCGAAAGAAACAACATATATGTGATGAATGTGGAAAACACTTCAGTCAGGGCTCAGCTCTTATTCTTCATCAAAGAATCCACAGTGGGGAGAAACCCTATGGATGTGTTGAATGTGGGAAAGCATTCAGCAGAAGTTCTATCCTTGTGCAACACCAGAGAGTCCATACTGGAGAAAAACCTTACAAATGTCTTGAATGTGGAAAAGCCTTTAGCCAGAATTCTGGGCTTATTAATCATCAGAGAATCCATACTGGGGAGAAACCTTACGAATGCGTTCAGTGTGGGAAATCCTATAGTCAAAGCTCAAATCTTTTTAGACATCAGCGAAGACACAATGCAGAAAAACTTCTGAATGTTGTGAAAGTTTAAGAAATTAAAAAAAAAAATGTCAGCACTCAGGTCTTTTTCTTCAGAAATGAAGACAAAAACATGAAATGATAATAGTTCTATTTCCTTCTAGTCTGTTAGAAAATACACGGGAAATGTAGAAAATCTTCACCCACTATTATTTCATCTTGAGAGAAATGGTGTCATACCTGCCCAGAAACTGAAATTTTAAACTTAGTTCAGGTGTTAATGCCTAAATCTTACATGTGATGTTTATATTATTATTTTTCCAAATAATGAACTACCTGATTCTTCAGCCCTTAAAAGTCTCCTTTGTAGACTGACATATTTCTGTGTTGAGCATTAAAATGTTATTTTCAAGGTATTCCTGTGTACATTAAAAGGTAACAGGAATTAAAAATGTAAAAAAAAAAACCATTTTTTCAAAATTTATCCTTGTTTTCTTTCACCTAATTTGAATATGTATTTCAGAAAATGAAAGATAGGATGATCAAAAGCCTCAGAGTAAATGAGCCTTAAAACTCAGATTAAGAAGTGGTAATGAACATCAAAAGTGAATAGGGAAGATAAATACTCTGATCCAAGAACTGAAGTATATCAAGAATTTGTCTAAATGTAATTATTTGCCTGAAGAAAAACTCAACAGCTTACCCTCTCTGTAATTAGGCATCCCACTAATGAAAATAGTGTTTTCCCATTATTATTAGAAAGTGACAGAGTCTAGACAATAAACAATTATAAACTATAAAAGTAGAAATTACAACTAGGGAGGAATTTGTAGTGAATGGCAGTGTTGAAGAGCAATATAGCATAATGGTCTCTTGGCTTTTAGAAAACAGACTTGAAAATCTTATTTTGCCTTCATTTTTATTAAGGACAGAAAAAAGTCTGACAAGTGGGCAACAAGTATCAGGTTTGCTATTTTATTTGGTACAGAAGGGTTGAACAAGCAAACAAAGCAGCCATGCATTTATAATTAAATATTTTCTACCGACAAGGCCCTGTGCTAGGTACTGTAACCCTACCATAAGTAGGTAGGTGTTTCTTTCACTGTAAATCATTGTGGGTTTGGTACAAAGCTGTTTAATGAGTTAACTCTTAACTCTGTCAGAGTAGTCCTAGGGGAGGTCACCTCTGAGATTTCCAGAGTCACAGTTCTCTTACCAGGGTGTTATATTGGGGGAAAGGAAGATTCAGCTTAAAAGAGCTAGCCGGCTCTCCAACAGTCTAAAGAGGTGAGTATAAGATACTCTATTAGTTTGGAGGTTTGTGGGTCTTTAAAAAAAACTAATCAATCTCTAGTAGCACTGAGGTTGTACTTAACATGTTAAGTTGAATTGTTCTATTTAAAAAATACCTAGGTTATTAACAACTAGCTTACTCAGAATTGATTTTCATTTTAAAAATTTTAAGTCTTAACACATTTTTTTAAGTGTATTAAAGTAATACATTGTAGTAGTAGGATTATATACTCCTTGGCTGAGGAATCCCAAGTACTGTGGTTCTACTGTTGAATAGTGGAAAACTCTGGAAGTTAAAATACAGAATATGAGAAAAGGCATTTTATAGTGGGCATAATTCTGTGGAAAATAACCCATGTGAATAAAAATATTTCATAGTTCCAGAGATTTTGGTTGCATCTGGTGCTTGGATCAGATTAAAAAAAAGAAGGCGAGATTTGCATGAGCCTGTTAAAAAGCATAGTAATAAATGCAAGGCCAGCTGGTGGAAAAGTGAGTCAGAATGGAGCTTGTTTATAGATTTTTCTGATAACGATAAGAAATGTGCTTTATAGATTAAGACTTATTGAAGTATAAATATGTAGTAATGATATAATGTATTTTAAGTTATACAGGAAAATGTAGGGACTTTTGTTTGGGTCCATTTCTCTTGTGGCTGAGAGGAAACAAGTCAATGTCCAATAAAGCTATAAACTACTCCGCTCTAAGATAAGATGTTCCTGAGTTGGTTTATTTATTTACAACTGGCTCTTTACATGTGGGCTTGAGGTGGCGTATTTGGAATACTGCTACTGGGATGACAGTTCTTTTATCAGAGTGTGTAAGAAGGGAGCAACCTCAATGGCTATAATTTCACCCATTTTTAGATCTTACATCTTCCTTGTATACAAAGAAGCTTCCCTCTGGTACGTTTGTCATAAATGCCAAAGATGTTTGGTATAAAAGAGCTTAGAAAAAGTATTTGAGTTGGCAAATATGAGCTTGTCTTGACAGCTCTGATACCCCTTGTTTAGAAAGGATTCCAAGGCTAAGGCAAGGCTCTCTGGAGAAAATGGGCTGGACACAAAAAGCCTGGTCAATGGTACATAGGAAAAGGAAGTGGCGGTCTGTGTATTCACTATCTCTTATTAGGTGAGTTAAACTCTCAGTAGACAAACTGACTTAAAATAACTTCAGTGATTTATGATTTCATTCATTCATTTATATGCACATAGCTAATCATAGCAATTCTGGGGAGTGCCCAGCCTCTGATGATGTGGTGATCTTGTAGTTGCAGTCGATGATATCACGCAGACTGCTGATAACCTGCCCAATAGCCACTGAGCATTTGCTCATTATTGCTAAATTTTCTTCTGGTTTTCTTGGTAGTGAAGCTCCCCACATTCACACCCAGTCTATCACATTATATAAGTGTTCTATGTATTGCATTCCAGGCATTGGCTTAGACAGTATACCTATCTCACTTAGATTTGTATAGGCTAGGAAAGCAAGATTCAGAGGACATGTGACTTGCATGTGGCTGATTACAGCAAAAACTCAAATTCTTTGACTCCAGGGACACGTATTTTTCACAGTGCAAATGACTACTGTTAAACTTTGATAAATTTTATGCTTTCTTTTATAGTTACTAAATGTTAAAGCTATTAAACAAGTTTGTTTGAATTTTCTACAGTACAGAATTGTAAAATGAGAAAGAACATTCCTTCTCATAGTCTTACTCAGAAGTAGTAATTTGGTTTGTTATTCTCCCAGGCATATACCTATTTAGGCAAAAATGTGTTAATAGCCGACACTTGGGGTTGCTATATACAGGCACTGTTAGAAGCACTTTACCATGGACTGTTAATCCTCACAGCAACCATATGAAGTAGGTACATATCCCCATTTTACATGTACTGCACCCCTTCCCTCCCACTTTGACGTAGACATTTTGTTTTATGGCTATGTATTATTCCATTTGTTTATTACAGATAATACAGTTAACATCTTTATACATGTATTTGGCTACCTGTGTGGGTTTCCTTTAGAATAAATAGCTAGTTGTGGATTTATTGGGTCAGAATGTCCACATTTAACATTTTGAGAAATTACTGTACCGATTTACGACTCCATTAATAGAGTGCCTGTTTGCCTACATTCCCAAAACCCTGAGTCCTTAAATATTTTTGCCACTCTAACAGGCAAAATTTACCTTTCTTTTATTATTAATGAGGAACATCTTTGTTCACTGGCCATTTGCATTTCCTGTTGTGAATTGCCCATTTTTCCTTCTTTAATTATGAAAATTACTATCCTTGTACAGAACAAATGATACCCAAAAGAACAGACCCTTTTCTCCAGCACTTCACATACCACAGCCCACAGTTGAGTATACATTCATCTAGCCCTATTCATATGAATATATGTACAAATGATGTCTTTATGTAAGATGATGTCTGTGTACTGCTCTGCAGCTTGCTTTTTTGTCTCAAAAGCATCACAAGGTCTTTAATAGTTAATAGGATTTAGTACTATGAAAATACCATTATTTGTCCCCTTATTTTTTTTTCTTGCTATTACATTGCCAAAGTAAACATCTTTTTTATATATCTGTATGTGTGTGTGTGTGTGACTATCTCTAGGATAGAGTCATATATGGTGGATTGTTGGGTCAAAGGGTGTGCTCTCTGATAGACCCACCTTAGCCTTCCCATAGGCCTGTTTTCACCAAGTGAATGGAAAGTGCTCATTTCCCCATACAGCCTTACCTACACACTTGATAATTTTTATCTGAAGGGCAAAAAAGATTTTGTGTTTCCCTGATTAATAGTGTTAAGGTTATTTTCATGTTTATTGGCCATCTGTAGTTCTATCATGGGTTTTGTATCCTTGACCAGCTTTTCTATTGGCTTATATTGGATATGTTGTTTTTGTTTGTTCAGTATCTCTTTCCCCATTTTTTGATAAGAAAATCCTTATTTATTATGAGGAACCCATTCCCTGTGGCTTAGGTGAGTACGTGGCCACGTCTGGCCTTCCCCTCAGTCCCACGGTTCCTTAGCCCCATGATTAAAGAATGGGCGTGTAACTTACGCCAGGCTAAAGAGAGCCCTCTATAGAACTTCTGTGGGAACTATTGGAATGAAGGGGCTCTACAGAGATCCCACCAATTATGGACTATGTAGGCCACAATTTGTACCATGTGGAGAGAGTATGGGGAGAAACTCAGAGGCTAGCAGAAAGTAACAAGAACTAAGTTATGATGTCATTTTTCTGGAGGCCCTATCCAGCTGTGCCTAAAGCCTGCCCTACCTCTGAACTTAAAAGTTTTGTGAGCCAATAAAGTCCCTTTCTTAATATAGGTTATTTGTATTTTCATATTGGTTTGTAGAAAACCTTGAAATTTTAATTCTAGTCTTATAGTTGATGCATTATATAGGTTAATAAAATTAGCATAGCCTTCCATGATTTGGCCTCTGCCATTATTCCACTCTCTATGCCACACAGCACACACATAGACTTTATAGTCCAGTAACAGTTTTGGTGGTGGGAATGTTTGGATGAACAGTTTTCACAATGTCTGTGGCATTTCTCTTCCATCCTTCCTACATACAGATTCACTAACCTGGCACTCAGACTGGAGATTACACTGCTGAATCTATGCTGTACCCACCTCCAACCATTGCTCTTGGGGCCCTCCCCTCAAGCATCCCCTTTATGTGACACACTTTTGGTGGTAGAAAAAAAATATATTGTGTCATATGAGTGGTAAAGGAGAAAATAAGGGATACAAAACATCAAGGAGAAAAGGGATTGCAACTTTGGTTGTCCAGGAAGGTTTCACTGAGGAAGTGAAATTTGGGAAAAGGTGTGTATGAGGAAGCAAGCCATGAGACCCAGGGGACATATTCCAGGCATGGGAACAGTAAATGCAAATAAGCTGTGGTGGGGACAATGCCTGATTTGTTCAAAAAACAGCAAGAATGCCGGTGTGGCTGGAGCAGAGTGAACATGGTAGAAAGCAGTGGATGAAACCTGAGGGTGAAATTTGATCTGGCAGGGCCAGATCATGGAAAACCTGGTTAGTCATTGGTAGGACTATGACTTTTACTTTGATGGGAAACCATTAGAGGTTTTGGCCAAAGGAGTGACATACTGCAGAGAAGAGAACAAAAGTGTCCAGCTACCTTTTCTTAAATTCTTATAAATGTCTCTACATATTTTCTTTATGAAGTCAGTTTTGAGATAAAAATCACCCGAGCCCACAATTCTAGTAATATTCCATTAACACTTTAATGTTCTCTATACACCTATATAAATGGTTCTATATACCTATCCCCATCTATACCTGTGACACTTATTTACAACAGAAATTTAGAAAACAGTAAATTAAGTGTCAGCATCTTGGTTTGGTTTGTTAAATTTAATGCCTGCCTTCCTCTTTGGAGCAATTACCTGAGGCTAACCTCTCCACTGAATTTAAGGCGTCCTCTTAGACCATTCAAAGGCACATGCCAGTAAGCCTCAGCTCTTATACTTCTTTTTTTTTAATCCTGGATTTTTTTTAATAAGCATGCAAATTTATCAAACATACAAATCCTTCAGGCCAAGATGACTAGATCTAACGTGCCTGAACAAATAAAATATCAGATAAAATATATCCAACAAAAGCAAAGGATGGGATCCCTGAGAGATGGGAAACAAATGAAGGAAACTTGGGTTTTCTCTATTTGCTACCTGGAGAGAATTTCTAGGCTACAGCAGAGAGAGGGAGAACTCAAGCAAAGCCTGGCAGTCTCCGTAAGTTGAGAAGAGGGAGCAAGGGGTCCTGAAAGGCCAAAGTGGTTATCTTTTGCAAGGCAGTGTATCAGCAAAGAGAGAACTAAACAACACTGGAGAGCTGCAGAGGCTCCCTCTCAAGTACTCAATTGAGGACTGATAAGCACATGTTTCTAGGGAAAGTACCTGAGGTGGGGGAAAGAATTATCCAAAAAGATTGCAGGAAAAAGATCACTGGGACTCACATAGGTACAGGAACAGTACCATCAGCCACAGTAGGAAACATCGTCATTCACAGGGCTTCAGTAAGAGCACTGTTCTCAAACAAGGGCAGTTTTGCCCCCTAGGAGACATTTTTGGCTATCAGAACCAGAGATGAGCTCTGCTGGCATCTAGTGGGTAGGAGATAGAGATAGCTCTAAATATCCTACAGTGCATAACACCTAGCTCTAAATATCAGTCCTGCTGACGTTGAGAAACTTGGGATTTGTACAGTAAGAAGGGTCTTCTTTTTTTTTCCTTAGTCGGTAGAAATGAACCCTAGACAAAACACTACCTAAAAGACACTTTAATAGCAAGATGTGAGAGGATAAAGCTGTGTCCAAGTAATTTAAATGCATTCCAGAACAAAGCTCAAGAATATGTATATTAACAATATCCAGCAACCACCCACCAAGACATGATATACAATGGCATCACATAAAAAATTATGTCATGCAAAGAAGCAGGAAAAATATAACTTCTAGTAAGAAAAATTTCATCAAATTGACCCAAAAATATAACAAAAGAATTAGTAGACAGGCACATTAAAACAAAGATTGTAACTATATTCTATGTGATCAAGAAGCTAGTAGAAATACTGAACATGTGTAGTAAAGGCATTTAAAGTATAAAACAACCAAATTAAATTTCTAGAGAAGAAAACTACAATGAGATTTTTTAGAAAATGCACTGTAGATTAAACAATAGAAGAAAAACAAGAAAAGAAAGGTAAATAAGACATAGCAATAGAAACTATCCAAAATGACAGAGGAAAGAAAACAGAAAAATTAACAGAGCATCAATAAGCTGTGGCACAGCTAATACATATATATATGTATAATATATATTTATACAAAGCCTAGTATATATCATTATAGAGTCCCTGAAAGTGGGGGGAGAGAGGAGGAATAGAGGAATATTTTAAAAAATAATCTACAGAATGCAGTGCTCATAGAGAAATTTATAGCAATAAAACATTTATATTAGAAAAAAAGTCTCAATCCAATTACTTCAGCTTTCACAAGAAGTCAGAATAAGACAAACCCAAAATGAAGAGAAGAAAGGAAATAAAGATTAGATTGGAAATCAACAAAACAGAAAATAGGAAAACAAAAGAAAAATCACTTTCTATATCCTATTTAAACCAAAGGCTAACTTTTAAAAAAAATTAATAAAATTGAGAAACTTCTAACTAGACTGATCAGGAAAAAAAAGATACATATTATATCAGAAATGAGTTGTGAAATTACTATGTATTATATAAATTCTTCTCCACATAAAAAGTTTCAGTCAAGTTTGCTAACCTCCATATTGCTGAATCCAGTACTCATTTATGAGACCTCTTGCTGAGGCATTAGCCATATTTTTACGTAACTGACATTTTCATTTGGCTTCAAGAACAACACACATTGTTGTTTCTCTACTTTATGGGACATTTCTTCTCAGTGTCAATGCTGGTATTTCTATTTCCTCCTCTCTCCAGACTTCTATATGTTGGAATCCTTGAGGAATCAGTGTTTAGATCTCTCTTCTACCTATATTCACTTCCTAGGTGATATCCTCTGGTCTTAGATCTTTAAATACTACCTACAACTGCAAAATCTGTGTATCAGCTTATACCTCTTTCTGAACTACAGGCTCATATATCCCTTTGCCTACCAGACTTCTCTACTGTGATGCCTGCTGTAGTCTGGGTCCCTAAGAAAACAGAGGGGATGTGATCCCAGAAGAGGAAGATAGGGTAAATGGGAGGTGAAGCAGGGAAGGAGGGAGAACAAATACAAGTAGGTGTTAGCTGGCTGCAGTTTAAGCACAGCTGTTTGCTTAGTCTTACTGGCCATTTTCAGAGCACAAGTGTGGTTTGAACCACTTCATCTCACCCCACCATGGAGTAGGAGGAGGGAAAATACTTTTCAGCAGACACCCCTCTCCCTCTGGTCAGTTTCCACCATAGAGCCTCAAGTTCTCACAC